CCCAAAACCCCAAAACCCCAAAACCCCAAAACCCCTAATAAATAATTACAGATTGCATATTATTAATCGATCTTAAATCTGACAAAGGTAAAGTGAGTTACTCTTCACCAAATCACTTTTTTCTTTTGACATAAAAAGTGGGTGAACAAATCAAGGAGTGTATTTTTAGTCCTTAAGCATAATTTTAATAACTTTTGTAGATGATGAGACAAATCATTCGCAAAATTAACTTCAGTACAAAAGTAATTTCCCTGGACAAAATGGAAAATAAATTAAGCCGGAGCAGAAGTATAAGTGAAAATATTTCTTTTGAGAGCATGTCTAGCTCATTACAAGACTCATCTGAGCCCAAACCTCAGAAGAATGTAATAGTTCAGGTAAGCTGGAACTTCTTCTGAAACTATATTTGATAAGCACACCAATTCATATTAGAAATAAGAAAATTTTGGAATTAATGTTGACCAAGAATAATTATAGCAGGATCTATCTTTCAAAGAGCTTTAAAATTATTCCTTAATTATTCTAAATTTTAACTATACCGTGTCCTTATAGAGAGGAACTGTGGGTCGTCTGAAAATCCCAATTTCGAAGAACTCTGATGACAAACTATTTGGTCGGAAGAAAAGAGCCAGAGGTCTGACTCATTTCATCCAAAAGAGGAATAGTGGTTTTCGAGTGAATAAACTTCCCAACAAGAATGAGCTATAACCCTAAGAAGAGTAAGATGTGCTAACTAAACTTTAGAGAAGAAATAAGGAAGAACTGGCCAGTAGCCCAAGAAGTAAATTAGGCTCGTTTAAGAATTTACACACTCTTGCAGGTATTGGTGACTTGTTATATAAACATATATTTAGGGCTCACCACTTTAAACCCAATATCTTTAATACGTAAGCGGAAGTGTAGCAAGGAGAAAATGCAGCTAGATGCTATTAAGAACAAGCTATCTTTGAATTCTGTTAACCCCTTAAGAGTCCAGGTCATTAAGAAATACCAGCTCTCCCAAAAGAATTACATGCAGTATTTGGAGGTAAAAAATTGTTGGAAGAAATGGCTACTCAAACATGCTTATCAAGCATACCTTAAATGTATGTAATTCTGGTCACATCATTTAGACAAGGAAAAGCAGGAAAATAGTACTGACAACAATGGCTCTTCAAGGCCTAAACCTAAGAAGTCCAAGTTGATTATACTGGAAAACAACAAGTTAATTAATAAGAAGACTCGTAATTTTAGGTCTTAATTTTAAGACATCAAGAGCGAACTTAAGTTTGCCCAAGAAGTGGTCAACCAATTCCGAACCAAAAACAATACAGCTGAAGAAGCACGAATGGAGCAGCTCAAGAGGAAGAAAACAGTGAAGGGAAAGAAGATCCTGAATTTGTTAAGCAGGAAGAAGAAAAGCAAGAGCTTTAAGATAACAAATCCTATCGAGGATGCAAAATTGTCAACTAAAAGTATTTATGAGAGGATTTACTCATCCAAGAGCATAAAGTCTAGCCAACCTCATTTGGTTGGTAGCTCAAGTATTTTTATGTATGATTTCTAGAATCTGGGATGAAAAGGTATAAAGATTTTGTCAAGAAATATCAAGGGAAGGTTAAGGTATATTTTCTAGAGCACACTTTTAGAACTTGGCTTCGCTAAAATCTAAAATTCAGAAAGGCACAATTCTGTGAGTTTTCAGTAAGGAAAGGAGGCAGAAAATTGTCTCTAAGACAGAGATGTATATGAATAAATTTAAAGAGAAAATCGGCTCTAATGATTACTGACTTTCTAAGAAATACAGCGACTTTTCAGCCAATAAGGTCCAAGAGGCCACTCTAAAGAGGCTTGACACAAAGCACCTCATTAGCCCAAAACCTTTGATTCTTAGACAGCACTCCTAATTACTACCTAACTCAATTTTTTCCGACACCTGATTCGCCATTTAAAAACATCTTCAATAAAACACCTTGTCTCAGGGGTTTTGGGGTTTTGGGGTTTTGGGG